TTACGGTTTAGGGGCTTACGGTTTAGGGTTTAGAGTTTGGATTCTTATAAGTCCGTAGGATTCTTGGTGTGATGTCATTGGGTTCTTGAGGCGTAGTATGAGTCTAGTCGTTTTGGGCGCTTTGGATTCTGCACGTTTAGACCTACTTCTGCGTTTCTTAGGGACAGCAAGCTCAGAACCGGGCCACGGAAAAAACGAAACCAGGAGTTCGGTCGCGACTGGCGGGACAAGGTGCTCCTTTCAGAGGCACAGAGATGGCCAGAGAGGGATCCTGACAGGCAAGCCCTAAACCCAAAACCCTGAACCCTGAACCCTAAGCCCTAAACCTTAAATCCTAAACCCTAAACCCTAAACCTACAAAAAACCCTTGAACCCTGAACCCGAAACTCAGCACCCGAAAGCCCCAAGTTCAAGACTCTAGACGGGAGGATCTAGCAAGTAGATCCCCCTATTTTTGGGACCCTGACTACTAAAGGGTACTATATGGGTAGTTGTCAAAATTATGGTCCCTTTTGGGGTACCCTAAATAATAGGTGCCGTATTATAATAAGGACCCAAAAAGGGATAATCATTTTGACAACCACCCATATAGGAACCCCCTCAAGGGATCTACTCTCTAGAACCTTCCGGGGGTCTGGGGAGGAAAGTATTCGGGATTATTCAGGCCTCTACACTAGGTCTTGAGTTTGAGGGCCAGGTTTAAGGGTTTAATATAGGGGCCTTAGTAATTAGAATAGGGCTTGGGGTATATTATACGATAAAATATGCATAATCAGGACCCCCCAAAACCCTAGTCTAATTACTCAGGCCCCTACATTAGGGTTTGAGGGTTGTGGTAACAGGAGTCTGCATTTAGCGAGGCTGTGAGGATTTGGATTTGGGGTTGGGTTTCGGATTTACCGTATTCAGCTCTCGGTGACCCCCTGAACCCTAAACCCTCACGCTAAACCACCCTAGACCATCCCAGACCCCAAACCCCAAAACCCTAAAGCCCCTAAAAACCTAAAGCCTTAAATCCTAAACCCTAAACCCTAAACCCTAAAACCCTCAAGCCCCTCAAACCCTAAAATCCTAAATCCTAAACCCTGAAACCCTAAACCCTAAACCTTAAACCCTAAACCTGAAAAAAAAACCTGAACTCCAAGCCCTGCGCCCCTAAACCCCTACGGCGCTAGGATCCCGTGCTCGGCAGTGCCACCATCGCGCAGGCACTACCGGAATTTCGGGCCGATGGCATGTGGGTTTAGGGTTTAGGGTTTAGGGTTTAGGGTTCAGGGGTTTAGTAGGGCCTAGGGTTTAGGGTTTAGGGTCTCTAGATTAGGTTCCCTTCTAGGGTCCGTTTCATAAAAAGCGTGCTACTACTTTGGGGACCTCAGGGAGACCCTAGCTTAGTGAACTACCCATGCGAGCCTGAGACCCCCCAAAATCCTGACACCCAGAGGTTGTAAGGTCCGAAACCCTCGGACCCTGCATACCCTTAAGAACCCCCCAAACCCTGAAACCTCAGGCCATAAACTCTACACTCTACACCCTGAAGCCTAAACCACACCCTAAACCCTGAAAAACACCCTACAGGGAATACTTGCTAAGCCCAGGTGGTAGAGGGTGAAGGTCAAAAGAGAACCTCAACTTGGCACTTTGCACACCTCCACGCTGAACCCCAAAAACCTTGCACCAACTGGACATGGTAAAGAAAGTCAGAGGGGTGCTTACAGTATTAGCCCTTGGGATCCAACGAATACCGTCGAACCTCCGAAAGGCATTCTATCATTTGATGGTTTAGGGTTTAGGGTTTAGGAGAACAACCCCCCCCAAACCCCAAACTCCCCTGTAAAGCTTTCACGGTCGGGTTTAGGGCTTTGGGTTTAGGGTTTAGGGCAGTTTGGGGTTTAGGGTTGTGGAAAGCCTAAACCCCAAACCCTAAACCCCAAACCCTAAACCCTAAACCCCAAACCCTAAACCCTAAACCCTAAACCCTGAGCCCTCAATCCGCCCAGGTCCACAAAGCCACTTTCCGCCGTCGCATGCCGGATGGTACGATCCAGGTGCGTCTGGCCTTGGGGCTTCAAGGGTAGGGTTTAGGGTTTAGGGTTCAGGGTTTAGGGTTTAGGGTTTAGGGTTTAGGGTTCATGTAGGGTTTAGGGTTTAGGGTTTAGGGTTCATGTAGGGGGCCTTAATAATTATAATATGGTTTGGGGGCTCCTTTTAAAGGGTTCCTTAAAGGGTTCTAAAAGGGCTACTATAAGGGTTTAGGGTTGAGGGGCCTTAATAACCAGAATAGGGTTGTTGGTTACATTATACTATAGTTTTTATAAGAGCCCCCCCCCAAAAAAAATGAAAAAATAGTCGTATTGGTAATTATTCCTATATTATCTAGGACTCTGTCGCTGAAAGGTTTGGGGGTTCTGGATGTGGGATGTAGCGTTTAACTACGTTTAGGGTGAGGGTTTAGGGTTTAGGGTTTAGGGTTTTTAAAGTGTCGGAGTTTGGGGCTGTCAGGTTGAGGGATCACGCCTTGGGGGTTCAAGCTTAAGCTTAAACCCCCTTGTCCATGCTTGCAGATTTTAGCGGCCCTGGTTTAACAGCACAGCCTCCAGGTGTAAGTTTAAGTTTTTAAATTATGAGTTCAGGGCTTCGAGTTTACGGCTTAGGGCGCGACAGGCTTCGGTTAAGGGTCTGGGGCTTTAGGGTTTGGGTCTTTGGAATTAGTTACAAAGCATGTACTAGTCATCGTGTGAGAAAACGCCAGAAATTTAAACGAACAGTTAGGAAATTAGGCGATGACAAGAGAAGATGCTTAAGGCATGAACTGTTGAAGAGATCACAGCAATTCTGCCCTTGTTGCCGCAATAGTTTTTCAAGTGGCAAAGCAGGATGCATTTACTTGGTCCGCGGGAGCCAGTGCTTTAACTACATCAAGATCCCTAAACCCTAAACCCTCAACCCTAAACCCTAAACCCTGAACCAGCAGCGTGTACAGTGTACGTATGTATGAATGGCCAAGCTATGAGGGCGCGGCACCAGATCTAAGGTCTGGGGGAATGTTAGGGTTTAGGGTTTAGGGTTCAGGGTTTAGGGTTTAGGGTTTGGGGGTTCGGATGTTGTTTCGTGTGGGATTGTGTTTAAGGTTTCAGTATGGGATTTGGGAGGTGCTTTGTGTATTGTGAGGTTGGAAGCTTTGTTTAGGCTTGTTCAGAAATGGTGTAAACGTCTGCAGGGGAGCATGGGATGTGAGGCCTGGGGTTAGCCCCTGCTTGCTGTAAGATCACAATATCATGGAGTCCTCATAGATGAACCCTAAGAGAATGCTGTAGAGTAACCCTATTCCAATCATCAAGGCCCCCCCATATTCAAGCGACCTTTCTTGGAAGGAGGTTCCTGGGGTCATCAAAGTGCAGCATCGACATGTCGAAGAGACGCTTACCCGCAAGAACCCTAAACCCTAAACCCTAAACCCTAAACCCTAAACCCTAAACCCTAAACCCTAAACCCTAAACCCTAAACTTTAGGCCGTATACGGGTTAGGTTCAGGTTGTGTGGGACTCTGTGAGGCCCTTCGGGGCCTATGAATGTTTTAGGGTTTAGGGTTTAGGGTTTAGGGTTTTAGGGTTTAGGGTTTAAGCATTTTTAGGAGTTTTGCTCTGTGGGATTTCATGTTGCAGGTCTTGGGGGGCTAAGAGGGCTTGGGACTTGCACCTTAAGCGGTAGATCCTGGATGCCTTGTTCTAACTATTAAGGCCCCCATGTTACTCCAAAAACCTTATAAGCATGATTCAGGCCCACCCTAAATCCTAAACCCTAAGCCCTTTACCCTAAGCACCCCCCTAACCTTCTTACCATACCCTCGGATCCGTTCCAAGCTCACCAGCCGGAAACCAAGGAAGCTGTTAGTGGACATTTCAGCCAGCGTCCTGGTGGCGAGGCCGGCTTAGGGTTTAGGGTTTAGAGTTCAGGGTTTAGGGTTTAGGGTTTACAGTTTAGGGTTTAGGGTTTAGGGTTTAGGGTTTAGGGTGGGGGTTGGGATGTACTTTTGGGGGTTCAGGAGATTGGGATTTAGCAATATGGATGTTCACAGTTGGACAGAGTGGGTGTTCAGGAGTTAGCGGTTAGAATGGAAGGCTTCTAGGCTTCACGCTTTCGGGCTTTGGGGTATAGCGTTTAGGGTTAAGGGTTTTTACTACTTGCATAGAGGCTATAAGTAATAGGGGGATGTTTCAGACCTTTACATTACCCAGGCTCATAAACCCTAAACCCCACACCCGAAGCCTTAAACCTAGAAAAGACAGGCTCGTCACAGCGCTGATGCCGCACTTCTTCTCGGAGCCTGCGTGGGGGGCGATCGGAGGGGGTTTTAGGGTCCTTTTTGGATTTGGGGTTGAGGGTGGTCTTGGGTCTGTTCAGGGTTCGAGAAGCCCTAAGCCCTAAACCCTAAACCCTAAACCAGGGTTCTATGAGCGGTTCCAGAATATTAGGAGTTTTTGTTCAGGGCTTAGGTTTCAGGCTCTTGGGTTTAGGGTCTGGGGTTTAGGATTTGGGCTTCAGATTCATCTTCCCATGAACCGATGTCTTGCTGGGCATCAATCTTGTGGCACCATGGCTATGACTAGAGCATGAAAAAGTGCCAAACTGACACACCCAATTTTCCGAGGTTGTACTTCCTCCGGGACTCGTCAATTTGGGATCTTCCTGCTTCATCAATGCCTCGCTGCAAGCATTGATTGCGGTTCCAGCTTTGCGTGCTGCGATCGGCAGAGGCACGTCGCACGTGGAGATGGCTCTGCACCAGGTTGTCCGACGACTGAACGCCTCCGGCCTTCTACCGCCACCGACAAGAGGACGCAGCAGAGTTTACAGTCATTCTGCTGAGCGAATGCCTCCAACTGCATGCTCCCCTTCGCGGGTTGGAAGTTCCTCGTCTTCGCTGTCGCCATTGTGCTTTCGAGAGAAGTCTGCAAGCCGAGGAATTCTTGTCGGTGCAACTGCCGATTGTGACAGACAGACCCATGACGTCCGTTCAAAACCCATGCCCCAAGCCCTCAACCCTAAGCCCTAAACCCTAAACCGTAAACCCTAAGCCCTAAGCCTTCAACCCTCAACCCTAGACCCTGAGCCTTTGACCCTAAGCCCAAAGACCTAAGCCCTAAGCCCTAGGCCCTACGCCCTAAACCCTGAACCCTAAACCCTAAACCCAGACCCTGAACCCTTGACCCTAAGCCCTGAACCCTAAGCCCAAAGCCCTAAACCCTAGACCCTAAACCCTAAACCCTAAACCCTAAGCCCTAAACCCTACACCCCAAGCTCGGCTCTTCCTGAGCTCGGCTGCGTTTTCTCGGGGATCAGCTCGGAGGAGATCCGCGCCCTAG